ACCACAACGTGAGCGCCCAATACTGCAAACAGTTTTGCAATACCGGCGCCGATGCCCGACGAAGAGCCCGTCACGAGTACTACTTTACCCGTAAAGTCACGTGATTTGGCCACTTGTCGGTAGTCATCGGCACTGAAATCACCCGACACTGCAGTGAATACAAATAATGTGTTAATCAACTAATAATATATGTTAGATAATTAATTATTTACTTTTGTTTTAGTAATTTTACTTAAGAATTAAGTTTACTGATTTAAACAATTTTAGTATTTTATTCAACTTGTATTTTTACCTTATTTATATACCCATGTTTTGTAATATGACATACATTTACATTTATATCTTATCATTTTCAATATAGCAAGTTTAAGACTTTTGGTACATTACAAGTCCACATAACCTAATTTTGTTAATCAAATAGTCATATTTCTTACAATTTCTTCTTGTTAGTGATATAAAGATAAATAATTGGCTAGTACAATTATCAAATTCATTTTTTAAATTCAGTACGTGCTGTGGTTGATAATACCGTATAAATATGATTATTTATAGCTTAACTATAAGTATAAGTTAATAATGTACTTGAAATATGTTTAATGTAATGTAATATAACAAAACAGTCCTTGATGCACCTAATATTATCAATGTTATCTTATATTTTTACTGTATGTGATATTATGCGATAATAGCAATGATTATTAGAATTTTAAATACATTTTATTTTTAATACGATATTGAAAAATATATTTTAGTTAATGGTTATTAAAGACAGGATTTCAATGCAAAACAAACCATGTCACCACCTGAAGATAATATGGTAATGCGAGTATTATTTCATTGGGACAATGCTTTTTATGTGCATATTATAATGGAATCTAACTATTTGAATTAAACTAAATGTTTTTAAATTTATTAAAAATGCCAAAAATTACCATGATGAAAGTTTGTAACATTTTGTTGACATACTTGTGCAAAGAATTTCAGGAATTACAGTTTTGTATGCTTTTTAAATAACAATTATAATCAAAATTATTATTTAAAAAAATAAATATTTATAAAATTAGATTTATTTATTATTAATAAATATATTTTTAATACAGTATTATTGTCTGATTACAAACAATCAGTTTATATTTCTTAAGATATACACAGACAATACATGTGTTCAGTTTAATTAGTAAAAAGTTTTTATATAATAAAAATAATAAAATTGTTAAATACTTGATATATCTAATCACAATGAAAATAAATGAATTTATGGTTTGAAGTTTGTCAAACATTATTTCTATATTAAAAACTTGTTTTTTGAGTTTTTAGTAATTTGTTTTATGTTGATTAATGTGAAATTATACTACATTATAAATAAACATTTTGAGTTTTTTTTAATATTATAAATAATTATACATATTTACAAATCTTTACATAAATAATATATAAAATTATTATATTATTTAATTTAAAATTAATTGAATTAAAAGCAAAGAAATGTTGAAATTGATGGCAGCTTTGAAGAAGGCTTATAGAAAGGTAACAATAATTTAAAAGCAATTATGTGTTTATTGTTTTTATCTCACATTTTAGCCAAAGATTTACGCAAAGAACTCAATGGACAGATTCGGTGATGATTTGTGTGCACTTATATTGTCTTACCTCTCACTCGAAGACCGGTTTCGTTTGGAATGTGTGTCCAAACAGTTCCAGAGAAATATCTTTGATAGTGTTGTCGACATTAGTATCAAAAATGGATTTATGAAATATAACATGAAATATAAAATCAAAATTGCCATAAAGTGTCCAAACACTCAGACCATTGACTGTCGAGAACTGAGTCTAGATTATGATCAATACCTTCCCCTTATATTTAAAGCATTTCAGGATAATTGCCTACATTTACAGGACATTCGCTGTAACTTTGCGCTGACAAGTGGTCAATGGATCCGATATTTTGAACAACTCATCACAAGAGTAGAAATCAATAGGAAAGTCACCAAATATTTGCTCATTTCGTGTCACCGATTGTCTCATTTAATTGCAAATGAATTGAATGATATTTCCGGACAAATGTTGGCACAAAATTTGCAGAAATTTGAGTTCAACTATAAATCCAGTGATAATATGGAGCTGTTGTCTGCGTTTGTGACACACAATCAGTCCCTCAAAAGTGTTGTCGTACGGAATGATAGATACGATACTCACGACGTTCTGCCCGATCTGTACCAACAATTGTCACGATTAACACAATTACGGGAATTAACACTTGATTTTTGACTATCGAATATCAAGAACTCACTGTCTGAGTCTTTGCGTACAATTGGCTTAAACTGCAAACAATTGCAACGATTCTCACTTACATTGAGAGCAAATCTATGGCCATATAATGGATTCATTGATATATTATCACCGATTAAAACGATTAAATGTAACAATTCCTAAGTATACACAACATCAGCATTTGTTGGAACCGTTAAAACTCTGCCACCGATTAAGACACCTATCAATTGAAGTCAAATTTCTGAGCCATTTGATTGAACTGAAGGGATGTGGAAAATATTGGACACGACTTCAATACCTACACATCATTGACAGGAATAATACGATAGACAGCGAGTGTTTGTCACACATCTCAAGACTACCGGCGCTGCAAACGCTTATTGTGGAATGTAATACAGATTATTATCTCTCGGATAATAAATTCTGGTTACTGTTGTCGAAAAGTCCTAAACTCAAGAACATTGAATTCCGTGTAGACAAGGAAAGCAAGTTTTATTCAAAGTATTATTTTTTATTGATAATTTATTTAATCATTTATTTAATTGAAATTTGTTAAGTCATTGAATTAATTTATTTATTACATGTTAGAATACCATCGGGTTGTAGTCGGTTTGGATTTAGGCCAATGTGTCAAGATTAAAAGTTAAAATGTTTGCATTTTATATAATATTCAACGTAAAAAACAAGAAACATACAAAATTTTAAGTTAAAAATGACATGTATTTTCTATCGATATACTAATTTTAGAATCACCATTAATAATTAATTATATTATTAAAACTTGTATAATACTATTAAAACTTCATTATATTACAAATGGTGTTAATAAAATGATATTTGTCAAATAATTTATTTTAATCAATCAATTTATTATTAAATTACATAAGTATAAAAATAAAATTAATTATAAATTTAATACTCAACAACCATATCGCCAAACATCGTATTCATTGCCCCCATATTGTGGACGAGTCCCCCGTCAACAAACAAATTAGCGCCGGTCATAAACTGGGCATCACTTGAGGCCAGGAAAGCCACGGCTTTGGCCACATCCAGGGGCTGACCGATGCGTTTCAATGGTGTGAATGAACGGGTCTTTTCCCAAACCACCGGCGGATCCAACTTTTCCTGCACTTGTGTGGCTCCGGGACTATTAGTGGCACAAATATAATGTTTAATACATAAAATATTACAAAACAGTTTAACACATACTTAACAGCGTTAACCCTAACACCAGACGGTCCCAACTGTAGGGCCAGTACGCGGGTCAGCATATCTACAGCTGCTTTGAGTGGTCCGTACGCTAGTTCTGTGATCATCTAATTATAGTACATACAAATTATAGTATCTAATTATTGTATAATGGAAATCATATTCAATATTAAGACAATAGCTACAGTTTAATGACTTAAAACAACTATGACATTATTTATTATAAAAATAAATTACATTTAAATTTATAATAATAGTTAATATTTAATTAATGTGAATACTTACAGCTGCTTTGCCACCCATGGATGCTGTGTTAATAATAGTGCCGTTGCTTTTCAAGAGGTGCGGCACCGCTTCGTGTGTCACCTCAACCACAGCCCTGAGGTCTATGGCATAGAGTCGGTCCCATTCGGACATTAGGTTTGATTGTGTGATGAGTGTCGATACCGACCGAAGGCCGGCGTTGTTGACCAATACATCAATTTTGCCGTAAGTTTTGATGACTTCATCGATCAATCGTTTGACGTCCGCTGTTTTGGTCAGATCTGCCGTCACTTCTAATGGCTGTTAAGGTAATTAAAAATATTTTTTAAATAAATTATTTATGTTAATTTTAAATTTTAAAATATTTATAACAAATTATTAAATACTAATGATTTTTTGATAGTAATATTATGTTTACAAAATTAATTTTAAATTAAAACTATTAATCTTTGGTTAAATACTAAATATAAACATTTTGTTATTTTTTAAGTGCTAAGCTATTAATATTTTATATATTTTAATTAAAAAATAATTATTATAGCAGAGAACACATAATATTAATAACAAACTTTTAGTTTATAAGGGGATAACTGTTGGCACTCGAGGGCCACTTTGTGAACGCCTTCCGCTTTAAGTCCATTGACCGTAACGTTAGCGCCGAGTAATGAAAAGAGACGGACAATACCCTCACCGATGCCCGACGACGAACCCGTCACCACTACTACTTTGCCCGTAAAGTCACGCGATTTGGGCACCAGTTTGTAGTCATCGACCGGGAAATCGGCGCTCACTATCGCCGACAATACGGCTAACAATAATATAGACACTAATTGTCTCATAATTATAATAAATTGTGTAATTAACTAATTTGTATTTTAATAATATAAAGTTAATTTATTTGTTAAAAGTTACATTGTTTGCCTGATCCTTTTATACTAAAATATAACTGAAACCAGGTGACTTACGATTTTAGTACACAACAAGTCTATGTGTCCTATTTCTGATATTTTGATAAATATAAGCTAATTTTAAAGTTGAAATTAAGTTAAGCAAGTAGCTAATACTATTACATGAGTCCGTTTATTAAGATTATAATAATAACCAAAAATAGATTATAACTGTAGTACAATATAGCTATTGTGATGATAATTGTTTGTATAAGTATTTGTTTATCATGTATACCTAAATTATCAAACAGGAAATGTATGATTATGAGATACTATATAACACAAAACAGTCCTTTGTGCACTTTTCAATGTTATCCAATGTTATCCAATGTTATGTATACGATACTATTTATTGATAATAATAACTTAATATCAATAATATCAATAATAACTGATAATATCAATAAACTACAAATATGTATTAGAAATATCGTATAATAAAAATAATAATGTATTTTGAGTTTGTAATCCAAAGTCAAAAGCATTATTATTTTAAATTGAACAATATTACAAAAAATTTTATTAAAATAATATTTTATTTTAAAAATTAGTATGGGTTTATTAATCATGGTATTAATCTTAACTTGTTATTAAACTTCGAAAATGATTTATTTGTAATTTTCAAATAATACAAATCAAGTAATAATTTAAAATGATTTATTTTATTGTGAAATAATTATTTTAGTGTAAAATATGTAAAAATATAAAAAAGCGAATAATTAATATAATATTAGAAATAAATTAATTAAAACTACTAGCTAAACATTTGGCTAAACATTTCATTCATAGCGCCCACATTATAGACGAGCCCTCCGTCTACAACAAGATTAGCACCGGTTATATACTGGGCATCAGTTGAGGCCAAAAATACCACGGCTTTGGCCACATCCAGGGGCTGACCCAACCGTTTCATCGGCACAAACGAACGGGTCTTTTCCCAAATTACCGGCGGATCCAACTTCTCGGTCACTTGTGTGGCTCCGGGACTATAAATAAATTAAATTATTGTTTAATTAATAAACATGATATAAAAATTGTTATGAATAACGTGTGCATACTTTACTGTGTTTACGCGGACACCCATTGGTCCCAATTGTAGGGCAAGCACTCGGGTCAGCATATTTACAGCCGATTTGAGCGGTCCGTAGATCAAATTAAAAGTGGCCTAGTTAATTAAAACAAACTTAATCAGTATACTCTATACAACCATATAATCATGGTATAAAAGACATACGGGTGCAATACCACCCATGGCTGATATGTTAATAACAGTGCCATTAGTCTTCAAGAGGTGCGGCGCCGCCTCGTGTGTCATCTCGAGGACAGCCCTGAGGTCCAGAGCGTAGAGTCGGTCCCAATCGGCCATAAGGTTTGAATGTGTAATCTGTGTGGGAGTCGTACGGATGCCGGCGTTGTTGACCAACACATCGAGTTTGCCGTAAGTCTTAACGGTCTCATCGATCACACGCTTTAAGTCCGAGCTTTTGGTCAGATCTGCCGTCACTTCCAATGGCTGTGAAGTAATATAAATATTATTATNTTTAGTTTATAAGGGGATAACTGTTGGCACTCGAGGGCCACTTTGTGAACGCCTTCGGCTTTAAGTCCATTGACCGTAACGTTAGCGCCGAGTAATGAAAAGAGACGGACAATACCCTCACCGATGCCCGACGACGAACCCGTCACCACTACTACTTTGCCCGTAAAGTCACGCGATTTGGTCACCAGTTTGTAGTCATCGACCGGGAAATCGGCGCTCACTATAGCCGACAATACGGCTAACAATAATATCGACACTAATTGTCTCATAATTATCATAAATAATGTAATTAACTAGCTTGTATGTTGATAATATAAAGTTAATTTATTTTTTAAAAATTACATTGTTTGCCTGATCCTTTTATACTAAAATATAACTGAAACCAGGTCACTTAAGATTTTAGTTCACAACAAGTCCATGTGTCCTATTTCTGATATTTTGATAAATATAAGCCAATTTTGAAATTGAAATTAAGTTAAGCAAGTAGCTAATATAATTACATGAGTCCGTTTATTAAGATTATAATAATAACCAAAAATAGATTATAACTGTAGTCTATAATACACTATAGCTATTGTGATGATTTAAAGCGTAATTGTTTGTACAGTATACGTATTTGTTTATCATGTATACCTAAATTATCAAAAATGTAATGTATGATTATGTGATACTTTATAACCCAAAACAGTCCCTGGTGCACTTTTCAATGTTATTCACACGTATAAGTTATTATCAATAAATTACATTTGTATTAGATTTGTATTTGTAAAATTTGTATATGTATATTTAATATGTATTAAAAATATTTGTATAATAAAAATAATAAAATATTCTGAGTTTATAATCTAAAGTAATCTCAAGAGCATTATTATTTTAATTTGAACAAAATTACAAAAAAATTATATTCAAATAAAATTTTCTTTTTAAAATTAGTATAAGTTTATTAATCAAGATATTAATATTAACGTGTTATTAAACTTCAAAAATTAAATTTATTTATTTGTAATTTTCAAATTATACAAATAAAGTAATATTTTTAAATGATTAATTTTATTGTGAAATAATTATTTTAGTGTAAAATATGTAAAAATATAAAAAAGCAGATAATTAATATAGAAATAAATAAATTAAAACTACTAAGTATCGATTTGTAAACCGATTTGTAAAGTAAGTATCGCGGGTGTAATATCTGCTCGGGAGGCAGATGTTGTTCTAATCGTGGCCAATATATGACCCGTAGTCAACTCCGGTTTTTATGGTGCCGAAACCCCACATCCAGGGGCTGACCCAACCGTTTCATCGGCACAAACGAACGGGTCTTTTCCCAAATTACCGGCGGATCCAACTTCTCGGTCACTTGTGTGGCTCCGGGACTATAAATAAATTAAATTATTGTTTAATTAATAAACATGATATAAAAATTGTTATGAATAACGTGTGCATACTTTACTGTGTTTACGCGGACACCCATTGGTCCCAATTGTAGGGCAAGCACTCGGGTCAGCATATTTACAGCCGATTTGAGCGGTCCGTAGATCAAATTAAAAGTGGCCTAGTTAATTAAAACAAACTTAATCAGTATACTCTATACAACCATATAATCATGGTATAAAAGACATACGGGTGCAATACCACCCATGGCTGATATGTTAATAACAGTGCCATTAGTCTTCAAGAGGTGCGGCGCCGCCTCGTGTGTCATCTCGAGGACAGCCCTGAGGTCCAGAGCGTAGAGTCGGTCCCAATCGGCCATAAGGTTTGAATGTGTAATCTGTGTGGGAGTCGTACGGATGCCGGCGTTGTTGACCAACACATCGAGTTTGCCGTAAGTCTTAACGGTCTCATCGATCACACGCTTTAAGTCCGAGCTTTTGGTCAGATCTGCCGTCACTTCCAATGGCTGTGAAGTAATATAAATATTATTATAAATTTATTGTAATTATTGTTAAATTGTAATCACATTTGAGATTTAGAAAAATAACTGCTAAACATTAATAAATTATTAATAATAATAATTATAATCACTTTATATTATCCCCTGGATATCAATGGACTAGAATACACATTAAAATTAGTTTAACATGAACCATTTTTAAACATTATCTAGATCAAATATTTAGAAATATTATTTTATTTATACCTTGAGTCTATATGGTGATAATTTTTTGCATTCCCGGGCAACTGACCGAAGCTTATCTGTCGTCCGGGCGGTGACCGTCACGTTAGCGCCCATTAAAGCAAACAGTTTTGCAATACCGGCGCCGATACCCGACGACGAACCCGTCACCAGAACTACTTTACCGGTAAAGTCACGTGATTTAGCCACTAGTCGGTAGTCGTCGACCGGGTGGTCGGCGGTCACTATAGCCGACAACAGGCCTAACAATAATACAATTACTGATTGGTTCATAATTAAGTAGTTAGGCTAGGTTAGGTAATATTAAAATTATTATGTTCGATTTATGTCAAATGTTTAGTTAAATGTTAAGTTTGTAAATGAAACATCATTATTACTTACCATCATTTTATATCATAGCCAGATGATGGTAAAAAAGTTAGTTTATTTACATGTAATGTACTAAATTTACAAACTATAATTAACATATTAATATATTCAAAATGTACTGTTGTTAATAATAACCAACAAAATAGAATACTATAGCCCAAAATGAATTTGCTAATCCCAGTAGTACTGGGCCAGTACATTTCCGGTGCACAAGTGATGGACCAACAATCCAACAAGGTCATATTGCATCAAGCGTGCATTTTATTTAAAGCCCATGTGCACATTAATTATCTAACATAATTATAGAAACCTACCTCAAATAACCTTCACTCTCAATCTACCTTATAGATATTTAATTAAAATACAAACAGGTAATTTAAAATATCAACAATGATCTTAAATACTGTATGTTAACATTTTACAGCTCATTGGATGTAGAAATTATAATAACCAGTCAAAAACAGTCCCTTTTGTACTGAATTACACAATGTTTTACATAAGCTTTTAAAAAGTAATTGCAACATTATAGCGAATGAATTTTGTTAATTTGAATTTAAAGTATTAAGTGCATCAGGGACTGTTTTATTTAAAATTGTTGTTATCAATATATCAATACTCTTTAATTTACCATAACAATTATTTTATAAATAGTCGTAATGAAATCATTTTTAAAAAATATTTTATTTTAACGCTACATTTATTTTAAATAATCTTAAATCTTTTAATAATAATTCACATTATTATTATTATTATTATAGTTCATTTACACTTCAATTCATTATTAAATTATATGACTATAAAATTAAAATCAATTATAATAGTCATCAATCATATCGCCAAACATCATATTCATTGCCCCCACATTGTGGACGAGGCCCCCGTCGACAAACAGATTAGTGCCCGTAATAAACTTGGCATCACTTGAGGCCAGAAATGCCACGGCTTTGGCCACATCCAGGGGCTGACCGATACGTTTCAATGGCGTAAATGTGCGGGTCTTTTCCCAAACATCCGGGGGATCCAACTTTTCCTGTACTTGTGTGGCTCCGGGGCTATAAGTAACACAAACAACATTTTTAATGTTTAAAACATTGCAATAAAATTGTTT